TCTGGTCAAATTTAAATAAATAAATAAATAAATAAATAAATAAAGTTAAATTAAATCTATAAAAAGTTCTTAACTTTTGATTTATTTAATAAGTAGATTATCTAATGTGTGATTCCACATTGTAAACAGCCAATAACTATTATGTGACAGACTGGTTATTGGAGCTCCTTACAACTTTGGTAACTGGGACCAGCATTTCTCTAAAGCCATAGAGGGTAGTAGCTTGGCCTGTGGGTTCTAAAGTCAGCCTGACTCTTAGTTGGAATTCAGTCTGTGTAACTTTGGGTAAGTACTTATTTAGATTTCAGTTTTCCCATTCATCAAATAGAAATAAAAAATAGTACCTACCTTATAGATTTATTGAGAGTATTAAGTGAATTAAAAGAAAGTGCTGGGCCAGCAGATGGCATGGAGGTTAAGGTGCTGGGTCCCATATGGCTGGCTGTGCAGTTTGAGTCCCTGACTCAGCAGCTTGAAAATCATGCCAGGTGTGTGTGTATGCATATATGCCCAAACTCCCAAGAGGAGAATGGAGGAGAAGGGATTACAAGGTGGCCATTCCCCATGGGGGGTGATTTCTTGCTTTTTCTCTCTCTCTGTTTCTGGCAAGCACGCACATCCGATAGCAAAAACTTAAAAAAAAAAAAAAAAAAAGTGCCTAGCATGGTACCTGGCCTATTATAAACAGTCAAATGTTAACTGCTGTTGCTATTTTATTACCTGATGGAGGGGTAGTTGTTATTGCTACTACTCACTAAGAACTTTTTTTTTTTTTTTAAGAAGATTTTTACTATAGGGTATGTGCATTCGCAGGAGACACAGAGACAGAAAGGGAGAAGTCACCCCCCAGGGGGGATGGCCATGCCACAATCCCTTCTCCTCCATTCTCCACTTGGGATATTGGGCATGCATGCACATTAACCCGGTGTGTTTTAAGCCACTGTTTCCAGACCTCGAACTGCAGTGCACTCCATGGGAGTCCAGCTACTTAACCATTATGCCATCTTCTGGTCCCAAGAAATCATTTCACTGGGCCAACAGGTGATGTGGTGGTTTAGGTGCTGGATCCCACATGGCCGACTCTGCGGTTCAAATCTCTGAACCAGCAGCTTGAAAATACACTGAGCTCATGTGCATGTATTCTTAAAATCCCAAGAAGAATGGAAGAGAAGGGATTGTGGCAAGGCCATCTCCTTTGGGGAGTGATTTTTCACTTTCCCTCTGGTAAGTATCTGTGCCCTATGGCAAAAATCTAAAGAACGTTTTAAAAAGAACTTACTTCATTAAGAACTGGTTAGTTGTCCAAGAAAGCATATTCACTTGAAGGTTTGATTTCCTCTGTTCTTTCTTGGCCACCTGCAGACCCATGGACTTAACTAGCCTCAAGAGGAATCTGTCTAAGGGACGCATTCGTACCATGGCCCAGTTTCAGCGTGACCTGATGCTGATGTTCCAGAATGCTGTAATGTACAATGATTCTGATCATCATGTATACCATATGGCTGTGGAGATGCAACGAGAAGTCTTGGAGCAGATTCAGGTACTGTCTATAGAAGCTTCAAGGAAAAGACATGTAGCCTCTGGAATCTGATTTTAGAAAGTCTGTGAGAATAAAGATTATGTTGAAGTCTATGAGAATAAAGATTATGTTGAGTTTATCTTTAGAGGTGATTTAAGTTCCTGAAAGGTTGATGGTGTACCTACCACTTTGGAAAACTCTGTGACTCTCAGTAGGTCAAGTTTTTTTTTTTTTTAAAGAATTATTTTATTTAATTTTATTCATTTATTTTAATTTGACCAGAGAGAGACAGAGCCAGAGAGAGAGAAAGTGAGAAGGCAGGCTACCAGCTGTGGGACTCAAACCATGGTCAGCCATGTGGGAGTCCAGTGCCCTTAACCACCACGTCACCTGCTGCCCCAGTAGGTCAAGCTTTAATAGACAGTAATATAAAGTAGTTAAGGAAGATAGGCAGGAGTAAAGACCTTTCAGCAGCGCTACAAATAATAGGAACTCCTGTTTCCAGAGCCTCAAGTCAGAACTAAACAAGCAAACCAAGGGACCAGCAGATAGCAGATGATGTAATAGTTAAAGTACTGGACTCACACATAGTCAACCACAGACCTGGCAGCTTAAAACTCATGCCAGGCACGTGTGTGTGCATGCCCAAAACCCAAGGGGAGAATAGAGAAGAAGGGATTGTGATGTGGACATCCCACCTGAGGGGTGATTTCTTGCTTTCTGTTTATCCCTCTCTTTCTCTCCTGCAAGCACATGTGCCTATAGCAAAAAAAACTCTCTCTAAAAACAAAACAAAACAAAACAAAACAAAAACAAAGACTGAAGTCACTGTTAATTTTTTGGTTGCCACATCTTTTGATATTGTTACACATTCACATTTTTCCTTATTTAGGGGATAAAACACAGTAGGTAGAAGACATTTGAGGGTTCTTTTTTTTGGGCAGCATTGTATATTAGAGAAAAAAGTACAGTTGGATCTTCTCTTTAGAAGAAAATCGGAAAACAAGAAAGAAAAAAATTGAATTCAGTCCTATGTAACGTTTTCTTTTTTTTAATATTTATTTATTACATTTGTTATTATTTTAAAATTTGACCAGAGAGAGACAGAGAGAAAGCAGGCCACCAGGTCCAGGACTCAAACCATAGTCGGCCACGTGGGAATCCAGTATCTTTATCCACCATGCCACTTGCCAGCCCCAGTCCTGTGTATTGTTTCTTTTCTTTTTTTTTTTTTTTAAGAATTACTCTATTTTAACTTTATTTATTATTATTTTCCAATTTAACCAGAGAGAGAAAGAGAGAGGGAAAGTGAGAAAGGAAGCCACCAGGTCTGGGACTTGAACCATGGTTGGCCATGTGGGAGTCCAGCATCCCCCAACACCCAGCCACCTGCCCAATCCTGTGTAGCTTTTAAGATTCATGCCTTGCTGGGGCCGGCAGGTGGCATGGTGCTTAAGGATGCTGGACTCCCACATGGCCAACTGTAATTCAAGTCCTGGACCTGAACTGGTGGCTTGCTTTCTCACTTTCTCTTTCTGTCCCTCTCTGGTCAAATTAAAAAATAAATGGATAAATAAAGTTAAGTAAAATCATTTTAAAAAATTATTCATAGCTTGCTTTCTGTGCCTTAAACCTTGCAGGTGCTGAGTATTTGGTTAGACAAAAGAAGAGACTTAAGTAGTTTGGAATGAGAACCAGCCAACTGAGTAAATGACAGAAGCCTATTTTATTATCCAGGAGCTTCTACCCAGATCACATTTGGAGTATGGACAACTCTCCTTGAGACTGACTCAGAACATCTCAGTACTCGTTATTATCTCTGTTGTCTTCTCTAATAAAAAAAATGCTTTAACACATAGAATCAAAGGTGCCTATGGAATAAAATTTAAAAAAAAGAGAATTAGAAATGTGGGTTTATGTCATTATTGTGACCCACTTCTTTGTTCCATAAGTTTAATTTAGAGGTAGATTAAATCTTTTGTAACTTCTGTAAATAAATGTTATTTTGCAAACCAAAGAATGCTTTTCAGTGATTACATAAGCTGGGACTAGAGGGGACAGCATCATCTGGTGAGAGGAAGAAGGTGAATTTAACACTAGGGGTTATCTGTTTTTCTTTTTTCTGAGAGATTTTTTTGCTATAGGGCATGTGCATTCACTGGAGAGACAGAGAGACAAAGTAAGAAATCACGCCCAGGGGCATGACCATGCCGCAATCCTTTCTCCATTCTCCTCTTGGGATTTTGGGCATGCACACATACGTGCCTGGCTTGAGTTTCAAGCTACCCATTCTGGGACTTGAACTATAGTCGACCATGTGGGAGTCCAGCAATGTAACCATTATGCCATCTGCTGGTCCCTCATCTTTATTATTATTATTATTTAAAATTTTGCCAGAGGGCTTATTCCTTTGCCAGAGGGGGGAAGAAGGAAAAAGAGAGTGAGAAATCACTCCCCATGGGGAATGGTCATGTTGCAATCCCTTTCTCCTCCATTCTTCCCTAATATTGGGCATGCACACACATTACCCTAGCATGTTTCCCAAGCCACTGGGTCCAGGGATCAAAAGGCCGTTAATGTGGGATCCAGTCACTTTAACCACCATGTCATGGTCTGGCCCAACACGGGGGACTTCTTGTATGTACTCTGGAAGGAGAGGTGGGATATCTGAAGTATCAAATGCCCATGAGGTGAAATAAGATAAATTATGAGGAGGGCCGAAGCAGCATAGTGGTGAAGAGAGCCAGATCCCAGGGCCAGCAGATGGCATAGTTGCTATGGCTGACTATGGTTCCAGTCCTGACCCAGTGGCTTCAAACACACCAGGTGCGTGCGGTGCCCATGATCCCAGGAGAACGGAGAAGGTATTGCCAAGTGGCTATCCCCTCTCAAGGGGGTGATTTCTCACTTTCACTCTCACTATCTCTTTCTCTGGTGAGCGCCTTATGGCAAAAACCTCTTTAAAAAAAAGAGAGAGAAAAAAAAGAGAGAGCCAGATCCCACAAGGCTAACAACAGTTTGAATTGTTCTTGAGTCCTGTGGTGGCATGTGTGTATAACACACCAGGGTGCACGTGCTTGCCTATTTCAAAATGCCACAGGATAGAGAATTGGAAAAGGAATTGGCCAGGACTGTGCCCCAGTGAAGGGTGTTTTATCTGTCTTCTCCCTGGTGGACCCACGTCCCGTCTGGCAATTAGAAAATAAATTTTAAAATAAGATAAACTATGAGGGAAATGTTAGAAAACGCTTGGTGTTCTAATAATTGCAGGAGAATCAAAATGGCTATGGCCAACTCCCTTTCTGGATTAAATCGGCGAGAGGCTGTGGGCACGCTGGGATTGGCCCTCTGCAGCCACCGTCTCTGTCTCTATGCCAAAGCTTCCTGTTTCCTAGCAACGGATTGTCCCGAGAGGGTCAGCTGCTGAGGTGAGAGCTGAGAGGGTCACCCAAAATTCGAAGGTACAGTCTAGGGGATCCGAGAGGATCTGGGGACTCTCCTTTCCAGTCAGGCCGCTTACCTGTAGCTAGAGCAGTGTCCAGGGGGGCCGGCCACAGCCCCACCCGCTTCTGCTGCTTTGTGGGTGCGCCTCTGCCTCTGCGCGTGTAGCTCCTTGTCTTCCCTGTCTCAGTGAAAGCGAGTGCAAAAACTCAGGGCGCGACTTCAATGCAGTAGGAATTGTGGGACTGAGACACTGCTCACAGAATAACACGGCCATTTCTACCTTTATAAATGAATGAAATCAAGCATCTTGCTACTCTTAATCACAATTACATTGAATTTGAAACATGGGGAACCGTGTCATTGCAGTTGATACCTGAAAAGCCAGAATGGAGATGTCAATGCCCCCACCTCAGATATATGTAGAAAAAACTCTGGCCATTATCAAACCAGATATTGTTGACAAAGAGGAGGAAATACAAGATATTATTCTCAGATCTGGATTCACCATTGTTCAGGTAACTTCTGGGCATGATGATCATGCTTTTTTCTTTGCTCTTTGTAATTTTAAAAAATACTTATATAGGTACTAGCGGGTAGCGTGCTGGTTAAGGCGCTGGACACTTCCACGTGGTCGACCATGGTTGGAGTTGCGGACCTGGCACCTTGCTTTCTCACTTTCCCTTTCTCTCTCTCTCTGGCCAAATTAAAATAAATGAATGAATGAATAAAATTAAAAAAATACTTATATAAATATGCTAACTCATTTAGATCTTTAATATTTCTAAGTATAAAAGTTACATCATATTTTTTAGTGAAAGTTTTTTTTTTTTACACTTAAAGAGGTTATAAAATGAGAAGTAAAATTGCCTTTTCCTTCACCTGTTCTCTTCTACCCCAAGTCCCCGTCTCCTGAGAGAGGCAACCACTTAACATTTTCTGTTCTTCCAGAGTTTTTTATGCACTTTAAAAATTATTTTATTTAACTTTATTTATTTATTTGAGAGAGAAGAGAGGAGAGAGAGAGAGAAAATGAGAAACAAGCCTCCAGATCCAGGACTTGAACCATGGTTGGCCATGTGGAAGTCCAGCATCCTTAACCACCACACTACCTGCTGGCTCTTTTATGTACCTTTAAACAATTTTCCCCCATAGGGTAGTTTCCTTCCCTGACCCCCTTTATAAAGTTCTTCAGATAGCATTCCAGATCATTACATCTGAATCTTATTTCATTCTTTCTATCTTTCATGTACTATTCCACTATGTATTAGAACCATAGTCTAGTAATCCTCAATTGATGGACTTTGAGGCTATTGAGGTATTTTTTTTTCAGTTATTATAAGCCTTACATTCTGTAGTTGGTAAATATTGTCATTCTGGAGGCTTCAAAATGACAAAGTGAATTTAATACATGTTAAAATCATCAACTAGAACTGTTCTTTTTAGATTTAAATTTTTTTCTTTAATTTTTATTCATGATCATGTACACATACTTGAGAGAAAGAGGAGCACCCACACACAGGGCTCAGTCACACCACACCACAAATTCCCTTCCTCCAGACCTCCAGCCTGCCAGGATCCTGGGTACATGTATACCTGCCAAACTTATTTTCAGGCCAACTGCAGCAGGGACTTGTCTTGGTCAGCATGTGGCTTCTAGTTCCTTAGTCTGGTATGTTGCCAGTTGTACACCAAGACCAGAATTTATTTATTCATATTAAAATTTTTTCTAGGGGCATGTGTGCTTGCTGGAGAAAGACAGAGATGGAGAGACAGAGACAGAAAGTGAAAAAGCCCTTCCGTAGGGAACAATCACACTGCAATCCTTTCTCCTCCATTGCCAAATGCATGCCCAAAATCAGGAGAAGAGAATGGAGAAAAGATTGCAATGTGGTCACCTCCTCTGGAAGGGTGTTTTCTCATGATCTCTTCCCACTTCCCACTCTCCCACCCACCTCGAGCAAGCATATATGCCCTATAACAAATCTTAAAATTTTTTTGAAAGATTGGGAAGAAAGAAAGCATTAGAATATTGTTTAAATAACCTGACTTGGGCCAGGTGGTGGTACAGCAGTAAGAATAATGTGTGTGTCTGGGGTGCCCTAATCCTGACAGAGAAATGGAGGAGAAGGGTTTGTGCCATGACCGCGTCTGATTTCAGGGATACTTTCTCCTTCTTTTTGTCTTTTTCTCTCTGGCAAGTTTGTGCACTTTCTGGCAAATACAAAAATTAAAGAAAAGAAAAAAAAGAATTAGCAACAAACTAAATAAGTAGCTAGTGTTAATTATAAATTGAAAATTAGTATAAAAGTTTTCCTAGTCAGCAATACATTTTAGACCAAAGAAGGCCATGACGTATTATATGCTCATTTTTTGCTTTAAATGTGGTAAGACATACATACCATAAAATTTACCATTTTAGTTTTTTGTTAAGAGATATTTTTGCTGTTAGGGTTTGTGTGCTTACCAGAGAGACAGAGACAGAAAGCGAGAACTTACCCCTCAGTGAGGATGGCCATGCAGCAATCCCTTCTCCATTCTCCTTTCGAGATTTTGGGCATACACACACGCACCTGGTGTGTTTCAAGCTGCTGGGTCCAGGACTCCAATTATGGTTGGCTACATGCAAGTCCGGCACCTTAACCACTACACTGACTGCTGGCCTCACAATTTTTTTTTAAAGAATTATTATTTTTATTTGTTGTTATTATTTTTTATTATTATTTTAATTTGATCAGAGAGGGATAACAGAGAGCAAAAGGCAAAGTAAGAAAGCAAGATGCCAGGTCTGGGACTCACACCATGGTTTGCTATGTGGGAGTCCAGAGCTTTAACCACTATGCCACCAGTCGGCCCCATGGTCCCACCATTTTAATGATTTTTAAATGTACAGTGGCATTAAATACCTTCACAGTGTTGAGCAATCCCTAGGACTCTTTCAACAAAAACTGAAATTTTATTCTCATTAAATAGTAATTCCATTTTCCTCTCCACAGCCCAAGGTAGCTACTATTATACTTTGCTTATAGAAATTTGACTATTCCACTTATTTCATATATGTGGAGGCATACAGTATTTGCCCCTTGAACTGTATGCTTTTTTTTTTTCTTGAGAGATTTTTCCTATAGGACACATATGCTCACTGGAGAGACAGAAAACACTCCCCTCACTGAAGGAAGGGGATGGCCACACTGCAACCGTTTCTCCTCCATCCTCCTCTTGGGATTTTGGGCACACATGCACACACACCTGGCGTGAGTGTCAATCCACTGGGTCTGGGACTTAAACCACAGTGAACCATGTGGGAGTCCAGCACCTTACCCACTGTGCCACCTGTTGGCCCCATGGAAGATATACTTTTGAAATAGCCATTATTGGAACCAGCAGATGGCATCATGGTTATGTTGCTGGACTCCCACATGGTTGACCACAGTACAAGTTCTGGACCGGGTAGCTTAAAACTCATGCCAGGTGTGTTTGAGTGTATGCCTAAAATCCCAAGAGGAGAATGAAGGAGAAGGGGTTATGGCCATGGCCCCTGGGAGGTGATTTCTCGCTTTCTGTCTCTCTGTCTCTCCAGTGAGTACACATTCCCTATAGCAAAACTCTTAAAATACACACACACACACACACACACACACACACATATAGGCTTTATTTAGTTGCATTTAATGTATTGAACTTGAGACATTTTTTCCCCATCAAGGGGAAACCTCAACAATAATTATCTTTTTAGTAGATGACAGCCTTTTCCTGTGTTACAAACTAAGGGTTCTGCTGCTAGTAGCACCTGATCACTGCTTTTCTTTTTCTTTTTTTTTAATCTAATTTTTTAAAGAATTGTTTCATTTGGGACCAGCAGTTAGTGTAATGGCTATGTCGCTGGACTCCCACAGTCGACCGCGGTTTGAGTCCCGGACCAGGTGGCTTAAACTCACGCCGGGCGTGTGTGTGTGCGTGCTCAAGATCCCAAGAGGAGAATGAAGGAGAAGGGATTGTGGCGTGGTCATCCCCCCTGGGGGGTGATTTCTCGCTTTCTGTCTCTCTGTCTCTCTCTGTCTGTCTGGCGAGCTCACACGCCCTATAGCAAAAAACCTCCAAAAAAAGAAAAAAAGAATTGTTTTATTTAGCTTTATTCATTTATTTATTTTAATTTGGCCAGAGAAGGACAGAGTGCATGTGTGTGGAGGGGGCGAGAAAGCAAGCCTTTAGGTCCGGGACTCGAACCGCGGTCGGCCATGTGGGAGTCCAGCACCTTAACTACCACGCCACCTGCTGACCCCCATCACTACTTTTCTTTGAAAAATATTGAACTTAGGGACCAGCAGCTGGCTATGTCCCTGGACATAGCCAAAACTTCTCTAAACAAAAAAAATCAACTTAAATTCAAATTTTTTTTTTTAGAGTTTTTTTTGTTTTTGTTTTTTGTTTTTGCCAGAAAGCAAGAAATCACTCCCCAGGGGGATGACCACGTCGCAATCCCTTCTCCTCCATTCTCCCCTCGGGATCTTGGCCACACATGCACACACACCCTGTGTGAGTTTAAGCCACCGGGTCTGGGACTCGAACTGCAGTCAACTACATGGGAGTTCAGCAGCATAGCCATTACGCTAACTGCTGGTCCCAATTTAAAATATTTTTAAAATAATTTTTAATTTAATTAATTAATTTATTTAGAATTATTTTATTTAGCTTTATTTATTTATATTTTTTAATTTGACTAGAGATGGACAGAGTGAGAAAGAGAGAGAGGGAAAGTGAGACAACAAGCCACCAGGTCTGGGACTCAAACTGCGGTCGGCTATGTGGGAGTCCAGCACCCTTAACCACCACACTACCTGCCAGCCCCTATTTAATTTTTTTAATTAAAATTTTTTAAAGAATTATTTAACTTATTTATTTATTTATTTATTTACTTAAATTTGACCAGAAAGGGACAGAGAGAGAAAGAGAAAGTGAGAAAGCAAGCCACCAGGTCCAGGACTCAAACCACCGTTGGCCATGTGGGATTCCAGCGCCCTTAACTACCACATCACCTGCCAGCCCCTAATTTAATTTTTAAATAATTTTTTATTTATTTTATTTATGATTATTTCTATTTTCAATTTTACCAGAGTGAGACACAAAGAGAGAAAGAAAGCAAGAAAGCAAGCTACCAGGTTCAGAACTCTAACCATGGTTAGCCATGTGGAAGTTCAGCACCCTTAACCATCATGCCACCTTCTAGCCCTTTTATTTATTTATTTATTTATTTACTTATAAAAGAATTATTTATTTGATTTTATTTATTCATCCATTTATTTTTCATTTGACCAGAGACACACAAGAGAGAGAGAGAGAAAGTGAAAAAGCAAGCCACCAGGTCCAGGACTCGAACCATGGTTAGCCATGTGGGAGTGTCCAGCATCTTAACCAACTTGCTACCTGCTGGTCCCTTATTTTATTGATTTCTGTTTAAAGAAACCAATGGAATCATTGATTCATTGTCAACTTTAATTAAAGATGAACCCTTGGACCAACCTTGTGGTACAGTGGTTAAGTGCTATGCAACAATATAGCCAGATCTCACTTAGCCAACTGTGGTTCATATCCCACCCTGGTAGTTTAAAAAAACATGCCAGGTACAAGTGCCTGTGTACTTTATATCCTGGCTGGAAGGAGAATGGAGGCAAAAGGACTGCCATGTGACCACATCTGATTGGAGTATGCTTTCTCTCTCTGGTGATTTAAAAAAAAAAAAAAAGAAAGAAAGACCCTCTTTGTTTGAGAGATTTTTAGTATAAGGTGCATGCACTCAGTGGAGAGACAGAGAGACAATAAACAAGAAATCACACCTGGCAATCCCTTCTTCATTTTCCTCTTGGGATTTTGGGCATGAATGCACATGTGCCCAGTATGGTTCAAGCTGCTGGGTCCAGGACTTGAACTACAATCAGCCACCTGTTGGCCCTAGAACCCTTAATTTTAATTTATTTATTACTTTTTTATTCAACTTTTTTTAACTTTTTAAGGGTTCGGACATGTGGGAGTCCAGTGCCCTTAACCACCACGATACCTGCTGGCCCCAAATTTTATTTTTTTTATTATTTATTTTACTTTTTTTTTGGAGAGGTTTTCGCTATAGGGCGTGTGCGCTCGCCAGACAGACAGAGAGACAGACAGACAGACAGAAAGCGAGAAATCACCCTCCAGGGGGGATGGCCACGCCGCAATCCCTTCTCCTCCATACTCCTCTCAGGATCTTGGGCAGGCATGCGGCACGCACATGTGCCTGGCGTGAGTTTAAACCATCAGGTCTGGGACTCGAACCGTGGTTGACTATGTGGGAGTCCAGCGACATAGCCATTACGCTAACTGCTGATCCAAGTTTTGATTTGACCAGAGAGGGACACAGAGAGAGTGAGGGAGGGAGGGAAGGAGGAAGGAGAGGGGGGGCAAAGAGAGAGAGAGAGCGAGAAAGAGAAAGAGAGAAAGTGAGAAAGCAAGCTGTTTAGTCCAGGACTCAAACCATGGTCAGCCATGTGGGAGTTCAGTGCCACCTGCCAGCCCCTAGAACCCTCGATTTTTAAAAGTGTGCTGCATTAGCTAGCATACAGTAAAATATAGTTTCCTCTGCTTGTTGATGAGCATGTGGCAGGTAAGGGCTTATATTGCAATAGAGAAGAGTTTAAGTTTTTGTTTTTTGTTCTGCTATGGAGGCACACACTCACTGGAGAGAGAGAGAGATCATCCCTTCAAAGGGAATGACCATGCTGCAATCCCTTCCCTTGCATTTTCCTCCCGTGATTTTGGGCATGCAAGCACACATACATGGTGTGTTTTTGAGCCTCCGGGTCTGTACTCAAACTGTGCAGTTGGTCACGTGATCCAGTTGCCGGAACCTCTACACCACCTGCTGGCCTGTTTTTAAATTCAGCAAGAAGAAACAAACAAAAACCAATCATAAGTAAGAATCATAAATACTGTCTAGTTGTAATTTTGAATAACTGAATCAGATATACTAAATCAGGTGTTTTTATAACTTCACATTGTCTTTTATTTCTTGCTGTATGAATTTCAGTATGAGGACAGATGACAGCACTTTCTTCATAATAAGTGGTCCTTGACTGGTGAGGGTGTTATACTTGTTCAGTATAGGCTGCTCAAAGCAGTGCTTTTGTTTTGTTTTGTTTTGTTTTGGTTTTGGTTTTGGTTTTTGGAGAGGTTTTTGCTATAGGGCGTATGCACTCACCAGAAATACAGAGAGAGACAGAAAGCGAGAAATCACCCCCCCAGGGGGCATGGCCATGCCTCAATCCCTTTTCCTTCATTCTCCTCTGGGGATCTTGGGCACACACACACATGCACCAAGCTGGACTCCCACATGGTCAACCATGATTCAAGTCCCAGACCTGGTGGCTTGCTTTCTCACTTTCCCCTGTCTCTCTTTCTCTGGTCAAAATTTAAAAATAAGTAAGTAAGTAAATAAATAAAATTAAATAAATAATTCTTTAAAAAAAGAGAAAAAAACACGTATCATGTTGAAGGAAGCTGCCAAATGAATACTTATCTCAAGTAGGTTAAAGAATTTATTATCTTATTTCTTTTCCTAATAATACAAAGGTAAACAGCAAATTTATAACCAGATTGGTACTAATGTTGAAATTATTGATAATTTGAGGTATTTTTGAAATGTTATTTTAAATGCTTTTGTTGACTTTGTTTATTTGTCTTTATAGAGAAGAAAACTACATCTCAGTCCTGAGCAATGTAGTAACTTTTATGTGGAACAATATGGGAAAATGTTTTTCCCCAATTTAACAGCTTACATGAGTTCTGGACCACTTGTTGCTATGATATTAGCTAGATATAAAGCTATTTCTTACTGGAAAGAACTTTTGGGACCAAGTAATAGCTTAGTAGCTAAGGAGACACACCCAGACAGGTAATTTTCCTTGGGGAATGGGGAGGGGGAATATACTCTATTTGTAAAAATGCTGGTGGTGGGGGAAATCTAGTTTTATTTTAATGGGAATTTGTTTTTGAAGGGCAGTTTTCTTAAATCAAACTTTTGGAAGATGAAAAAGAAGTCTAGTTTATATTTTGACCATTTATTTATTTATTTGTTTTCATTTTGTTTTGTTTTAGGTTTTTGCCATAGGCCTGTGCACTTACTAAAAAAAGAGAGGAAAAGTGAGAAATCACCCACAGAGGGAATGGCCATGCCACAGTCCCTTTTCCTCCATTCTCCTCTTGGGACCTTCGGCATGCACACACATGCATCCAGTATGAGTTTCAAGCTGCCAGATTCAAGACTCAAACTGTGGTTGGCCATGTGGGAGATCAGTGTCTTAACCACTGCAACACCTGCTGGCTCCTTAAATGTCTATTGTAATACCATATGCCACAAAAGGTCAGAGGATGTCTGATTAGCCTTATTTTTCTCTCATTCTTGAATTAAATTGTAAATACAATAAAATAGGATTTTTTCATAGGGAAATGGGGTAGTTTTTGGTTTGGTTTTGTTTATGTTTGTTTGTTTTAGATTTTTTAGGGGCTGGCAGGTGTTGTAATGGTTAAAGGTGCTGAACTCCCACAAGTCCGACCATAGTCTGCGTCCTGGACCTGGCTGTTTGCTTTCTCACTTTCCTTCTCTCTCTCTCATTCTGTCCCTCACTGGTCAAATTAAAATAAATAAATAAAATAAATATTTTTTAAAAAGTTGTTTGTTTGTTTTTTGCCTTGGGGCTTCTATGCGTGCCAGAGAGAGGAAACAGACAGACACAGTGAGAGAGAAAGTGAGAAATCAGCCCCTAGGAAGGATGGCCATGCTTCAATCCCTTTTCCTCCATTCTCTTCTCGGGATTTTGGGCATGCACACACATGCTCTCAGCATGAGTTTCAAACCACCAGGTCTGGGACTTGAACTGTGGTTGTACATTACATCACTGGATGTAACCACTATGCTATCTGCTGGCCCCAGAATGATTTTTTTAAAGAATTATTTTATTTAACTTCATTTATTTATTATTTTAATTTGACCAGAGATGGACAGAGAGAGAGAGAGAGAGAGAAGATGAGAAATGAAGCTGTCAGGTCCAGGACTCGAACTGTGGTGACCTTGTGGGAATCCACCATGCCACCTGCTGGCCCCCCAGGGATGATATTTTAAAAGAATGTTGGTAATATAGGAGCAGAAATGTTTAGTTTGATTTAATGCTAGTGTTTAGTTTAATTTAGTTCAATTTATGCTAATTTTAACAGTATCTCTAATGTCTGGAAATAAGAGGACATTGAGTTCTTAGATTTTTGAACATTCATTGCTTTTCACTTCTCATAAGACAGCGCCTCTTTTTCACCCAGAGAACGACTATTTTCCCAGCATATCCTTCCTGCAGATTTAAATATATTTGAGTTTTATCTAAGTAGACTTAAGCTTAAATTCAAAATAGATCAAAGCCTCCATATATAAGAAGCAGCAATGCTTTTGTAAGATTCTTAAGTAGACTGCATGTTTGAAATAAGGGAAGTGTGTCAGACTGGATGGATATCATTTCTAATTTGCTTTTAGTCTAAGGGCAATTTATGGCACAGATGACCTAAGGAACGCACTTCATGGAAGTAATGACTTTGCTGCGGCAGAAAGAGAAATTCGTTTCATGTTTCCTGAAGGTGAGTTACAGATAACCAGTTTGTCAAAAGTGTCTTCTTATTGTTTGGTTTTTCTTGTATTCGGGGGCTATAGCTGGAGAGGAGGACAATGGGATTTTTCTGCAAGATATTTGCCACATTTCTGTGTTGTACTTAAAAACTTGAAGCCATGGATGGAAACACATTTCCCTCAGAGCTAAATTATGCCCTCTAGGGAATTTTTTTGAGAACAATTTAATTTCTTTCTTTTTAAAAGATAATTATTTATTTAATTTTATTTGTTATTATTATTTTTAATTTGTCTAGAGAAAGAGAGAGAGAGGAAGGGAAAGTGAGAAAGCAAGTCGCCAGGTCCAGGACTCAAACTGTGATGAACCATATGGGAGTCTAGCACCTTAACATCATGCCTCCTGCTGGCCTGAGAGCAGTTTAATTTATTTTCTCTTGAACTAAAAATATTTAAGGTTTCTCTTTTTCTGTGTTGTAATTCTTCCTTATCCCTAATGCTTCAGTAAAGTTTATTTCACATGAAGAAAAGAATCTTATAGAAATTACTATTTGTCATTTTTTCTAGTAATTTACTGTTTGCTAACAAAATCTCATGCACTTGTGAAGTTAATAATTCTTGGTCCTGGGGCCAGCAGATGGTGTAGCAGTTACATTGCTGGACTCTCACATTGCCAACTGCGGTTCAAGTCCTGGATCTGGTAGCTTGAAAATCATGCTGGAGGCGTGTGCATGTGTGCCCAAGATAATGAGAGGAGAATGGAGGAGAAGGGATTGAGACGTGGCCATCCTCTCTGGGGGGTGATTTCTCATTTTCTCTCTCATTGTCTCTGTCTGTCTTTCTCCAGTGAGCGAACAGCCCTAAGGCAAAAACTTCTCAAAAAATTTTTTTAATTAAAAAATAATAATTCTTGGGCCCTTTTAAATGTTAGTTTCCATCCTGTTTTGGAAGTTGTAAACCTATTGGAAGTAGACATTCTGAGGAATGGCACTGAGGTTTTTTATTTCTTTTAATAATATTTTCATAGCAGAATGAAAATTCAGTGATTTTCATTATAAAGAAAAAATGTAAAGCAGTGAACAGTTAAAATGATTTTTGGAGGGGCCAGCAGGTGACATGGTGATTAGGGCACTAGACTCCCACATGGCTGATCTTAGTTTTAGTCTAGGACCCAGTGGCTTGAAAATCACTCTGGGTTGGGGCCAGTAGGTGCATGGTGGTTAAGGCACTGGATTCCTCTGGCTGACTGTGGTCCAAGTCCCAGACCTGGCAGACTGCTTTCTCACTATCTCTCTCTCTGTCTCTCTCTGGTGAGAGTATATACTGGTAGCAAATTAAGAGAAGAGTGATAATAAATAAAATTAAATAATTCTTTAAAGAGAGGAAGGAAGGGAGGGAGGAAGGAAGGAAGGAAGGAAAGAGAAAGAAGGGAGGGAGGAAGGGAGAAAGGAAGGAAGAAAGGAAAGGAAAGGAAAAGAGGAAGAGGAAGTGTAGAGGGGAGGAGAGGGTAAGGGAGGGGAGGGGAGGAGAGGAGAAGACAGGAGAGGAGAGGAGAGAAAAGAGAAAATCACTCTTGGCACATGTGTGTGTGTGCCCAAAATCCTGAGAGGAGAATGGAAGAGAAGGGATTGTGCATGGCAATTTCTCCTGGGAGGTGATTTCTCACTTTCCTTTCTCTGTCTCTTCTCTCCAGCGAGCATGTGTATGCCTCATAGCATGTATATGCCCTATGACAAAAACCAAAAAATAAAATAAATTGGGGGGACATATTTTCCCTGAGTCATTTAGACCTATTCTTCTCTCTTTTCAACTAGAGATGTATTCAAAACTGAAAAGTTCCTGTTTTTTGAAAATTTACAGTTATTGACTAACTGATGTGATATAACTTGGAATTTAAAATTCCAAATAAATTTCACTGTTTGAACATTTGGTCTGTTACTTTTTAGCACCAACAGGATTGATCACACTGATGCTTGCTTATCAGTGGGTCGACATCCTTCTTCCGCTGGCCCTTCAGTCTGCTTAATAACAAAATTTTTACTTCTATCATTTTTCTTGGGGATGGCCTATTGCCCTCTTTCTGTACAAACTGAAAAGTCCCTGCTTCTTTTCTTTTCTTTTCTTTTCTTTTCTCTTCTTTTCTTTTCTTTTCTTTTCTTTTCTTTTCTTTTCTTTTCTTTTCTTTTCTTTTCTTTTCTTTTCTTTTCTTTTCTTTCTTTCTTTCTTTTAAAATTTTTGCCAGAGGGTGCACATGCTTGCCAGAGAGAGACAGAGTGAAAGAGAGAGTGGGAGAAAGCATTCCCTATGGGGAATGGTTATGTCACAATCTTTCCTCCTCCATTTCTCCCACTTTAGGGATTTGGGGCACACATGTGCCTAGTGTGTTTTAAAGTCACTGGGTCTCAGACTTGAGCCACACAGTCAGCCATGTGGGACCCAGCTCTTTGGGCTGTCCCAGTCTCTGGGCTGTCCCACAAAGTCCTTGATTCTTAAACAAAAAACTACTTTTTAAATAGATATTTGTACACTAAAGGATTTTCCTTCATACATATTAGTATTATTACTATTAATTTTACTGATCAAATTTATTTTTGTTGCATATCCATTAAGTTATCTGTCTCTTTAGAACTGTTTTTATTATAGAAATTTTCAAATATGCATGAAACTAATTAATCACTCAACTTTAGCAATTGTGGTTAGTCTCACTTCATCTATTTATAGCCCTTAATCCTACTTTTCCTGCTTCTATATTATATTGAAGTGCATCTCAAATGTGACATATCTTTTCAAAAAAGATTGATCTGTTTTTAATTTTATTTATTAGCATCATTAGTCTTCAATTTTGACCAGAGACAGACAGACAGAGAGAAAGGGAGAGTGAAAAAGTAAGCTGCCAGGTTCAGGGACTTGAACTGTGTTTAGGTATGTGGGAGTCCAGTATCTCAACCACCTCGCCACTTGCCGGTCCCATGTGACAGATTTTTTTTTCCCTGTGTGTTTGTGTGTGTGTGTGTGTGTGTGTGTGTTTGTTTTAGATAGAGTCTTGTATCAGTCTTTCTGCTTCAACCCTCAACCTCCCTAGTAGCTGGGACTATAGGCACGTGACCTCATGTCAGGTTGTGGCGGGGCCATCCCCCCGGGGGGTGATTTCTCGCTTCTTTCTGTCTCTCTGTCTCTCTCTGTCTTTCTGGTGAGTGCATGTGCCTTATAGCAAAAACCTCTACCAAAAAACTAAACAAAAATTATTTATTTAATTTTATTTATTCATTTATTTTAATTTGACCAGAAAGAGAGAGAGAGAGAAAGTGAGAAATCAAGCTGCCAGGTGTGGGACTCAAACCATGGTCAGACATGTGGGAGTGTCTAGCATCTTAACCACCATGCCACTTGCTGGTCCCTATTTACTTATTTTTGAACTTGATCGAGAGGGACAGAGAAAGAGAAAGTGAGAAAGCAAGCCACCAGGTCCAGGACTCGAAATGAGGTCAGCCATGTGGGAGTCCAACCCCCTTCATCACCATCCAACTGCTGGTCCCACAAAAATCTGTCTAAAAAATAATACTAAGCTAAGATTCAAATAGGCATTTTACAAAAGAAGATAATACAAATGGTTAATAAGCACATGAAAAAGTGTTCAACATAATTAGTTATTAGAGAAATGCAACTTAAACCACAGTAAAATACCAGTAGATACCCACTAGAATGGCTGTAATCAATAACGAGGGTATGGAGAAACTGGAATCTTAATCATTACTGTAAAATAGTATGGCCATTTTAGAAAATAGTTTGGCATTTTTTTTTTAAAGTTTGAGTACTTCTGTGTACACACTCACTCTCTTTTTAAATGAATTATTTATTTAACTTTATTTATTTTTCCTTTTTTTTTTTTTTGGAGAGGTTTTTGCTATAGGGCGCGTGTGTTCACCAGAAAGGCAGAAAGAGACAGAGAGATAGAAAGTGAGAAATCACCCCCCAGGGAGGATGACCATGCCGCAATCCCTTCTCCTCCATCCTCCTTTCAGGATCTTGGGCACGCACGCACACATGCCTGGTGTGAGTTTAAGCCACCAGGTCTGGGACTCGGGAATTGCAGGGCCAGCAGGTGACCTGGTTGGGGTGCAGGACTCCCACATAGCCAATTAAAATTTGGGTCCCCGACCTGGTGGCTAGCTGTCTTGCTTTCCCTCTCTCTCTCTCTCTCTCTTTGGTGAATTAGGGAAATAATAATGCTAATAAATAAAATTAAATAAATCTTTTTTTAAGAGCGTATTTTCTGTGCATGCACTCATTAGAGAGATAGAGAGACAGAAAGTGAGAAATCACCCCCCAGGAGTGATGGCTATGCCACAATCCCTTTTCCTCCATTCTCTTGGGATCTTGGAAACATACATACATGCACCTGGCATAAGTTTCAAGCTGCTGGGTCTGGGACTCTAACCACAGTTGGCCATGTGGGAGTCCAGCAATGTACCATTACACTATCTGCTGTTCCTAAATAAATCATTCTAAAAAAAAAAAAGAAAAGAAAAGAAAAGAAAAGAAAAGAATGGGGGGGAGAGTGCTGGCAGGTGGTGTGGTGGTAAATGGCGCTGGACTCCCACATGCCCGACTGCAGGTCCCACATCCTGGCCCAGAGAGCTTGCTTTCTCACTTTCCCTCTCTCTCTCTATCCCAAATTTAAATTAAGTAAATAAATAAAGTTAAATAAAATTCTTAAAAAAAAGGAAGTGAGAATTATAAATGAGTAGTTCAGAACATTTTTGGAATCATGGACACTAGATCATGGTGACGATTGTGTAACTATAAATTTACTAAAACAAAATTAATTGTACCCTTCAGTAGGTAAGTCTTACTACATGTGAATTTTATGATATGTGGGTAAAATTTATTTTCATATAAAATTATAAAAAATAGATGAGGCCCCTACCTTAACGAAGCTTACCATCTAGTGTTTAAAAGACAGTTATTAAACAATAGTTATTCAGATAATTGCATAGTTATTAACTGTGGTAAGTGCAATTAGAAGGTATCATGAGAGACTATAAGAAGAAAGACCTGTTGGATCAGCAGTTGGCATATTGGCTATGTTGCTGGACTCCTATGTGCTTCAAGTCCCAGACCCGGTTGCTTAAACTCAAGCTGGATGCGTGCGTGTGCGTGCTTAAGATCTTGAGAGGAGGGAACCAGCAGTTAGTGTAATGGCTATGTCGCTGGACTCCCACCTAGTTGACCGCGGGTCCCACGTAGTTGACGGCGGTTCATGTCCTGGACCCGGTGGCTTAGAACTCAAGCCGAGCGTGTGTGCGTGCGTGCCCAAGATCCCGAGAGGAGAATGGAGGAGAAGGGATTGCGGCGTGACCATCCCCCCGGGGGGTGATTTCTCGCTTTCTGTCTCTCTGTCTCTCTCTCTGTTTGTCTGGCAAGTGTATGCACCCTAAAGCAAAAACCTCTCAAGAAAATAAATAAACAAATAAATAAATAAATAAATAAATAAGAAAAGAAAAAAAAAGAAAAGAAAGAAAGACCTATGTGAGTGACATTTTATCTGAGATCCAAGAAGTAAGTAGGAGTTAAGCAGAGTAAATAGAACATTCTAGTAGAAGGAATAGTGTGTTCTCAAATTATGTGCAAGAAAATGGCATATTCTAGAATCTGAAAGAAAATTTGGGGAAGAGAAACATTAAGATACTATTGGAATGGTAGATAAATGTCACATGGTATATGGGCCATTGCATGTAAAGTTCTTTCCTAACTAAGTGCAGTGAGGGACAAATGAAGCATTTTAAAGATGGAAGTAAAATAATCAGATTTTCAGTTTTAAAATACTACAAAGGGAGACCAACAGGTGGTGTAGTGGTTAAGGCTCTGGACAGTTAGAGTCCTGAACACAGTGGCTTGAAAATCACAGATGTGCATGTGTGCTCACATGTGCCCAAAATCCTAAGAAGAAAATGAAGGAGAAGGGATTGTGGCATAGCTATCCCCTCTGGGGAACGATTTATCACTTTCCCTCTCTCTGTCTCTGCAGTGAACCAACACACCTTATGGCAAAAACAAAGGTAACCGTGAAAATGATGAACATGGTGCCCTTCTTTCTGGTCCCAATCTTTACTTAGAGAGTAGAAGAAACGGATGATGGAAATACATAAATAGCAACAACAACAACAAAATCCCATAAATTATTACAGTGATCAATATTATGAAGGTTGCTATAAATAGAGACTAATAGGAAAGGGACCTTTTACCTATGACCTATCAGACTTTTTCAGGGTATTCCTGGTATCCTGACAAAGACTCCCTTTGCTGGTCTTTGTCTAGTTGAAAAAAAGACTTAATCATTTAGATATCTATCCTATTCTCCTTTCCTTTAAGGTCAGTGAGGATTTAGATCTGAACACAGGAGATCTGTAGCTTTGCTTTCTCATTTTTATCAAAGTCATGTTGATCAACATTTAAAGACCTACTATGACTTATAAAATACAGTTATTTAAAAATATTTATTTAATTTTATTTATTCTTTTTTTTTTTTTTTTGGTTTTAATTTGACCAGAGGGAGACAGAGAGAGAAAGAGAGAGAAAGAAAGTGAAAAGAACAAGCTACCAGGTCCAGGACTTGAACCGTGGTTGGCCATGTGGGAGTGTCCAGAGCCTTAACCACCATGCCACCTGCTGGTTTCCCAGAATACAGTTGTTTTTTGATAAACATGTTCTTTTTTTACAAAAGAATTATTTGGGGACTGGCAGGTGGTGTGGTGGTTGAAAGTGCTGGACTCCCACATGGCCCACTGTGGTTCAAGTCCTGGACCTGGCAGCTTGCCTTCTCACTTTCTCTCTCTCTCTCTCTTGCTCTCTCTCTCACACTCTGTCCCTCTCTGGTCAAATTAAAAGAAAGAGAAAGAGAGAAAGAAAGAAAGAAAGTTAAACAAAACAATTCTTTTTTTTTAGAAAAGAATTATTTCATTTTTATTAATTATTATTATTATTGTTTTAAAATTTGCTATAGGGCACATGTGCTCACCAGAGAAAGACAGACAGACAGAAAGAGAGAGAGAGAAAGTGAGAAAGCAAGCCACCAGATCCCAGACTCAAATTGCTTGCTGTTAGCCTTAGCTATGTGGGAGTCCAGTGCCTTAACCACCACACCACCTGCCGGCCCCAACATGTTCTTGGTTTTGTTTTGTTTTGTTTTGTTTTGAGAGATATTTGCTGTCGGGCATGTGTGCTTGCCAGAGAGACAGAGAGAAAACAGGAAGCGAGAGAGACAGAAAGCAAGAAATCACACTCCCCCAGGGGGGAGGACCACACTGCAATCCCTTCGCAATCCCTTCCCCATTCCTCTCTCAGGATTTTGGGTATTGCATGTATTTGCACCCAGCATGAGTTTTAAGCTGCTGGGTCCAAGACTTGAACCATGGTTGACCACGTGGAAATCCAGTGCCTTAACCACTATACCTCTTGCTGACACCAACATATTCTTTTTTATATTGTAAGCCTGGTTCACTTACATGGTGTTCCAACAAGGCTGAAAGACTAAAATTTTCCAAAGTCTTAAATAATTTATTTAAAAGTCTGAAAAATAAGAATAGACTATTAATGCATATCATGTAGATAAAAAGATTTTATATGTATACTCAGCTACTCTATAACAGACCAAAAACTATGTATTATTCACTATGTATGTGTACTGTTTTTCAAAGTATCTAGGATTCATTGAACAAATGAATTAAAGTCCTAGTTTTTTATGTTCATTCATACTTGGGGGAGGGGGTCTGGAAGATGGGATTAAGAGCAGAGATTCAGTCTCCTTGGTCCCTGAACGTGGCAGGACACACCTCAGATTTTTTTTTTGGGGGGGGAGAGGTTTTTGCTATAGGACGTGTGCACTCGCCAGAAAGACAGAGAGAGACAGAGAGATAGGAAGCGAGAAATCACCCCCCAGGGGGGGATGTCCATGCCGCAATCCCTTCTCCTCCATTCTCCTCTCGGGATCTTGGGTACACATGTACACATACCCGGTGAGAGTTCAAGTCTGGGACTTGAACCATGGTCAATTACATGGGAGTGAGTTCAAGTCTGGGACTTGAACCATGGTCAACTACATGGGAGTCCAGTGACATAGCCGTTACGCTAACAGCTGGTCCCCACCTCAGATTTAAATGGCCTTTCTGTCTGAGCTTTTTTTTTTTTCATTCATAATTTTCATAACATTGCTCATTATGAAGTAATATTTATTAACTATAAAGAATGTAGAAATGTAGAAAAGTGAGAAATAAGTCAATGTTATAAGTAACAGTTATTGGCATTTTGATATATTTCTTGCCAGTCTTATATAGGCTTATTATTTGTCTGTCTGTGTGTGTGCGTGTGTGTGTGTGTGTGTGTGTGTGTCTTTAAACAAACAATTGTGCTATGTATCCTTAAAAAAAATCGAGTGTTGCTTATGACATTAAAAGCTCTTTGATGGAATCTGTAATATTTAATCATTTATGAATTGTTTTAATGAGAATATATTTGTATTGCAGTGATTGTTGAGCCCATTCCAATTGGACAAGCTGCTAAGGATTATTTAAATTTATATGTGATACCAACTCTGCTTGAAGGACTCACAGAGCTTTGTAAGCAAAAACCAGCAGATCCTTTCGTAAGAAATCTTCTTATTCATATATGTTGTCTATTTTCACGTTTAAAATGTTGTATTTTTTGAGGTAGTGAAGATATTGAGAGCCTTTTAAAAATAAGCATTTCTAGGGACCAGTTTATGGCATGGCAGTTATGTTGCTAGACTCCCACATGGTCAGCTGAGGTTCTAGTCCTGGACCTGGTGGCTTGAAACTTGTGCTGCATGTGTATGCATGGGTGCTCTAAATCCCAGGAGAATGGAGGAGAAGGGATTGTGGCATGGCCATCACCCCAATGGGTGATTTCTCACTTTCCCTCTCACTCTCTCTCTCTCTCTGTACAGCGAGCATATGCACCCTAAGGTAAAAACCTCTAAAAAAATAAAATAAAATAAAGTAAGTATTTTGGGGACCAGCAGATGGTGTAATGGTTGTGTCATTGGACTTCCACATCATCGACCGTGGTTCGAGTCCCAGACCTGGTAGTTTGAAATTCATGCTGGGGGGCGTGCGTGTACATGTCCAAAATCCCAAGAAGAGCCTGGAGGAGAAGAGATTGCAGTGTGGCCATCTCCCCTGGGGGGAGGGGGATGCTCACTTTCTGTCTCTCTGTTGAGTGCACGTGCCTATAGCAAAAATCTCTCTCCAAAAAAAAAAAAAAAAGCGTTTTTATAAACTATTTTAGACACATTCTATTTTTTTTTTTTGAGAGGGTTTTTTTTCACTATAGGGCGCGTGCGCTCGCCAGACAGACAGACAGAGACACAGAGACAGAAAGCGAGAAATCACCCCCCAGGGGGGATGGTCACACCGCAATCCCTTCTCCTCCATTCTCCTCCCAGGATCTTGGGCACGCACGCACACGCGCCCGGCGTGAGTTTTAAGCCACCGGGTCCGGGACACGAACCGCGGTCGACTATGTGGGAGTCCAGTGACATAGCCATTACGCTAACTGCTGGTTCCCGACACATTCTATTTTTTAAGTGTTTGGGTTATGTTTTTTTGTTAGGTTTTTGTATAGGGCACATGTGCCCACCAGAGACAGAGAGAGGAAAGGAAAGTGAGAAATCACCTCCTTAGGTGGAACATTTAAAATAATCTCTTCTAGTTATTTTGAAATATATAATATATTATTGTTAATTATGGTCACCCTACTATTGCTATAGAACTCTAGAATGTATTCTTCCTGTCTAACTGTATTTTTTTTTTTCTGGAGAGGTTTCTGCTATAGGGCGCGTGCACTCACCAGACAGACAGAAGGAGACAGACAGACAGAGAGAAATCACCCCCCGGGGGGAATGGCCACACTGCAATCCCTTCTCCTCCACTCTCCTCTCGGGATCTTGGGCACGCACGCACATGCGCCCGGTGTGAGTTTTAAGCCACCGGGTCCGTGACGCGAACCACGGTCGACTACGTGGGAGTCCAGTGACATAGCCATTATGCCAACTGCTGGTCCCTCTAACTGTATTTTTTTGTATTAACCAATTTCTCTCTGTTCCCTCCATCCTGACCCTTCTTAGTTTCTGGTAATTACTATTCTTTTTGAGATATTTTTGCTATAGGGCGCATGCACTCTTCAGAAAGAAAGCCAGAAATCAGCCCCTGGGGAGATGACTACGCTGTATTTTCCTCTTGGGATTTTGGGCATGCACGCACACGTGCACTGTTTGAGTTTAAGCCTCCGGATCCAAGACTTGAACTGTAGTCAACTACATGGAAGTCCTGTGATGTAACCATTATGCTCTCGGTGATCCCTTCTGGTAACTACTATTCTATACCCTGCTTCTAGGAGATCAGTATTTTTTAGCCTCCATATGAGCGAGAACATTTTTGTCTTTCTGTTTCTGGCTCGTTTCACTTAACATAATGTCCTCCAGGCTCATCCATGTTGCAACAGATAACAAAATTTTATTACTATTTTTTTTTTTTTTTGGAGAGGCTTTTTGCTATAGGGCGCGTGCGCTCGCCAGACAGAGAGAGACATAGAGACAGAAAGCGAGAAATCACCCCCCAGGGGGGATGGTCACGCCGCAATCCCTTCTCCTCCATTTTCCTCTCGGGATCTTGGGCATGCACGCACACATGCCTGGTGTGAGTTTTAAGCCACTGGGTCCGGGACGCGAACCGCGGTTGACTATGTGGGAGTCCAGCAACATAGCCATTACGCTAACTGCTGGTTCCCAAGATTTTATTACTATTTTTTTAGAGAGATTTTGCTGTAGAGTGTGTGTGCTAGCCAGAGAGACAGAGAAAAGACAAACAGAAAGTGAGAAATTACCCCTCAAGGGGGATGGCCATACCACAATCCTTTCTCCTTCACTCTCTTTTCAGGATTTTGGGCATGCGTGCATACTCAGGATGAGTTTTAAGTTACCAGATCTGAGACTCAAACTATGGTCTACTACATGGGAGTCCAGTGATGTAACCATTACGCCATCTCCTGGTCTCAATATTTTATTACTTTTTATGGCTGAATATCATTCCATTGTATATATCCATTCATTTGTTGATGGGCACGTAGGTTGATTATATATCTTGGCTATTGTATAGTGGCTCAATAAGCATGGGAGTGTAGATAACTCTTCAACAGTAATCTCCTTTCCTTTGGCTATATGCCCAGCAGTAGGATTGCTGGATACTATGGTAGTTCAATTAATAGTTTTAGTTCAGGTGGGACCAGCAGTTGGTGTAATTTCTATGTCTCTGGACTCCCACGTAGTTGACTGCGGTTCGAGTCCCGGAACCATTGGCTTAAACTCATGCTGGGCGCACATGCGTGCCCAAGATCCCGAGAGCAGAATGGAGGAGAAGGGATTATGGTTTGGCCAGTCCCCTCAAGGAATGATTTCTCACTTTCTGTCTCTCTGTCTTTCTCTTTCTGGCAAGCGCACATGCCCTATAGCAAAAACCTCTCCAAACAAAAATATAGTTTTAGTTCTTTTTTTTTTTTTCAGGTTTTAAAATGTTTTATTTGCACATTCCAATAATTAAAATCATTTGAACAAAAAGTACTCTGATTAAACTACATTTTACAGCCTGCAGGACACCTTAGACCAATTTTTTTTATTTTGGTGAGAGATTTTTGCTATAGATGCATGTCGTTATCAGTAACACAAAGAGAGAGAGAGAAGGTGAAAAATCATCCCTCTGGGAAGGATGGTTATGCCATAATCTCTTCTCCATTCTCCTCTCAAGATTTTGGGCATGCATGCACACACACCCTATGTGAGTTTCAAGCTGCCAGGCATAGGACTTGAACCACAGTCATCCATGTGAGAGTCCAGTGCCTTAAGCATTATGCCAGCAGGCTTTTACGCTGCATTTCACTGTGTCCTACCCAGCTTCTTCCTGCACCAACACGCAAGTTCTTTTCTTTCCCTGCCAGCCAGACCTGAGATGGGAGAGGGAGCTGAGACTTCCTTGTCTTGATTCTTTGATATGAAAGGGGGCAGCGTAGTCATTTAAACTTGATCCAGCCTCTTTGTATCTTACAAAGTTAAACAGCTAAAAGAAGTAAAATAAGAAGTCAGTGCCATGGAATGTACAGTGCATATTGGTGATGCACACCTCGTTACGATTTGCCTACTCACGTCTCCTGTTCGCTCATTTCTTTGGAAGGCAATAGATTTTTCCCTTATGCTTCTGTCTTCTTCCGTTTTGACTTATCATATTTCTTGATCTCAGACATATTGGGTTTGTCAGACAGGGTCGCAGAGTAAGAGGAGCAAGACCCACTAGAGAGTGATGGCCTATGCGGTCATGTAGGTCATGTCTATTTGCTGGGGAGAGATACACACTGCAGAGTGTCCCTATTTTTAGTTTTTGAGGAACCCTCATGCTATTCTCCTTAATTGTTGTACTAATTTACATTCCTATCAATAGTGTAAAAAAGTTATCCTTATTTTATTTTTTAAAAATTTTGCTCTTGGGTGCTTGCACTCACTGGAGAGAGACAGCAAGAGAAAGTGAGAAAGCACTTCTCAGAGAGATGGCTTCTCCTTCATTCTCCTCTTGAGATTTGGAGTGTGCACATACATGAGCTCTGAATTTTTAAAATCAGTGAATCTAGAACTCAGACTACACTGTTGTCCACGAAGGATCCAGCCAGCTTCACAACCACAACACCTGGCTGGTTCTCTCTTTTTTTAATTGCAAGAGGATGCATGTGCTCACCATAGAGAGATGGAGAGAACGAAAAAGGGGAGGAAGAAAGCACCCCCAAATGCAATATGGTCACACTGTAATCCTTCCTTCTCCTACTTTTCTCTGTCCAGCTGGGATTTGGGGCACATATGCATGTGTGCCTGGCATGATTTTCAAGTTTCCAAGGCCAGGACTCTTTATCAGCCACGTGGGATTTGATTCTCTTAACCACAAGACCATGAGGCCAACCCAGTTCTTTTTCTTTTCTTTTCTTTTTTTTTTAGGTCATGTATATTTACTGTGGAGAGAGAGAGAAAATAAATCACTCCATTCCCCTCATGGGGAGATGATAATGCCACCCTTCCCTATTCTTCTCTTAGGATTTTGGGCATGCACGCATGCATGCACATGCACCCAGTGTGTTTTGCAACTTGCTGGATGTGGGATTCTAACCACACAGTCGGCCATGTAAGATCCAGCTGCCTTAAGCACCACACCACCAGCTGGTCAGTTCTTGATCTTTTTACTTTTTAAAAATAATTATTAATTTTGGGAACCAGCAGTTAGCGTAATGGCTATGTCGCTGGACTCCCATGTAGTCGACTGTGGTTCACGTCCCGGACCCAGTGGCTTAAAACTCACGCCGGGCGCGTGTGCGTGCGTGCCCAAGATCCTGAGAGGAGAATGGAAGAGAAGGGATTGCGGCGTGACCAACCCCCCTGGGAGGTGATTTCTCGCTTTCTGTCTCTATGTCTCTCTGTCTGTCTGGTGAGCGCACGCACCCTATAGCGAAAACCTCTCAAAAATTATTAATTTAATATTAATTATTATTTTTTTAAATTTGCTATAGAATACATGTGCTCACCAGAGACAGACA